TTCCCACTGTCGAGTTCTTAAAATATTTGTCTATCATGATGTTCTGACCACCAAGCGATTGCTGCTATGAAGCTGGCCTTACTTTGGAGCGTATCCTGTTGCTTCAGCTTTTATTAATGATTTCTATCTGGAATCTTTAGTTATAGTTTAGTTATAAGTTCCTAGGAATTAAGGGTGAAAGCTTTTCTATTTTGAATCATGTGCTTACAGCCTTCAGTTAAGTGTTACGTGTGCAGGTCTGCTGGAGATACTCAGTATGTGTTTATTACAATGACTGTGTGGTGAAGAGCTAAGAAAAAATGCCCACGGCCTGCAGAAGTGTTTGGGCAAAGGGGGAAAAGACTGAAGAAGAAAACATAAGAATAAAAAGAAATTATGTAAGAGAAGGCAAATTGTTGATATTTGTTGTCATGGGGATCACAGTGAAATCTATTTAAATAGATGGTTACAATAGGAATTTTGCATCAAGTCAGTTTTCCCTGTGCTCCAAAGCCATTCTTTGATGGTGAAATATTTGAAGGCACGCTGGTCTTTTGATATACAATTTTCTGACTTGAGCTTCTAAAGCCAGAGAACAGAGGCTTACCATTCTCTCTTTAGTTCGCTGATGAACAGCATGCTCTGCTTCCACTAATAATTAGTACTCATTGAGACAATGGCCACTTGTCTTGGATTCTTGGTTGGTTGGCTTGTGTGGTACCTAAAAAGTTTTAAGTTTGCTCAATTTAAACACTGGCATGATGTCAATGAACACCCCTTAAGGTAATAACAAGTATTTTACATTTCTGCTTCATGAATCAGAACACGTATGTTGGGATACTTAGGGCACACAATGATCCTTTCTAGAAACTGTAACAATTGTACAGCACTCAGCAAGAGAGGGACTTGATCTTTTATAACAGCATCGACTTTAAACTTCAAATAGCTATGATTCATTTCCTAGTGTTAACATAAATACAACTCCATTGTAATATAAAAAATTAACATGGGTTGTTTGCAGACATTCGTAGATGAAACACAAATAAAGCTTAGAAACCAGTCTCTATGGAACAACTGTCATCAGTATGGCAGGAATAAGTGAAAATGACAGCATTTTCTAATAATGTGCTAGGACAAGTTTAAAAAAATGAAATTGTAAACTATTTTGAAAGGCCACAGAGCAAACTGCAATGATAAAATGTAACACAATCTGTGTGGATGTCCTTCTGAGATGCTCAGTGCTTACTGCTCTTTGGATATTTTTGATGTTAAGCACTGTTAAGGCAATTACAGTAATGTAGAGATTTTCAGATGTGACACTGATGACAAAGAGAGATTCGACCAACTTTTCTTAGATAAGCTCTGCAAGAAATATACTGTGCTGGATTTTTACCTTTCGATATACAACGAAGAAAATTCCTATTGATTTCCACGTGGCTATTTACCTCAGAGAATTTGTGAAAGTGTCTCAGTCCAGCAAACACCACAAAAACCACACACACACACACACACACACACACACACACACACACACGGGAAGAAATGGGCCTGCGTGAAAGACAAATGGAAATAAAATATGAAAGGCTTTCATTGCTACTGTTTTGTTTTGTAATGCCACGAAGGTCATGCATTAAAGACCCAGATTTTCTTCATTATTTGTTCATAAGAAGAGGCACAGAAAGGCAAATCCATTACAAATAAAATTTCCCTCCTGGTACTCTACAGTATTAATTGGCAAGGAAGATCTTCTATGCCTTATGTCAAAAGTATTCTAGTTTAAATCAGTAAACAAGCTGGAATAGTCAAGCGGTGATTGGTCTAAGGAGGACAAACATTTACTGATGAACAATCACAATTTCAGCAATGAAAAGAGGCTGTTTAGGTTAAACGTTGTTACTGTACTGTGTCTCACTTGCCATCTTCAAAAGGTTAAAAAAAACACCTCCTAGGAAACATGTTTATCTGATGGTACAAAATGCCTCTGAGATACTCCCAGTTTTCACAACTGAGGTTTAAATGGTTTTGAAAACTTCAAGTTGCATTGCTGTGAATAGTTCAATGACAAAGGTGGCCATTAGAAAAATCCGAACCACAGAGTGACCTGGAGTCATACAGGAATGTTCAAGAATTTATATTATAGCAAGCCCTTGGCAATGTGTTGTGTTGTATTGTACGTATTTATGGAATGAATGCCAAGGGAAGTGTCTTGAGAACTCCATGTGCTTTAACTTAAAATTGTTAAGTAACTGTAGCTGGCAGTATAGGTGATTTGAATTTCGAGTCATCTTTTAAAATGTAGATTGTGATTGTCACAAGTGGGAAAGAACAATAATCTCACAGCCTATATGCAAAGATAGTTGTTGGTGCAAAAAGTAAAAGCCCACTCTCCTAGGAGACAAGACAAACCTGTTTGACAAATGCATTGAGTCACTTACTTAATACATAAATTAGTGCTAATTAATCAATAGATTTTCAACAATAATTTGTTAGGCACTAGCAGAGAAAGGACGAATAATATTAAAAAAACCTCACAATCAAATAGGGAAGAGGGATATGGGAACCGACAGCATGTATAATAGAATATGTGTTCTATGCTCAATGGACAATTGGACAATGTATGAAGAACATGGAGAGGCATAGGAAAGAGGCATTGATTCTGCCTAGAGAGACTGGTGTGAGATGGGCAGGTTGGGAAATCTGTGTCCTAAATAAATTCATTTATGAGTGTTCTATACCTATCAGTCTGTCCAACCAGAGATGCAAAAGCAATAGGTGATATAGATTAAGAGATTTATTGCAAGGAACTCATTTGTCCAATTGTGGGAGCAGGTCATTTGGAAAGACAGGCTGAAACTCTTCTGTGTGGGTTGAAGCTGCTGTTCACAGCTGGACTCTGTTCTTCTGGGGAGCCTCAGCTCAGCTCAGGTTGCTCGTATGTTGCTTGCTTATGGCTCTAGGAGTGGGAGGGAACAGTAACCATAAAGAATGTGCCTAACACGTTCTCCATAACTCAGGGAGATCACTCGGTTCCTCCTGGGTCTCCTGCTTAGCCAAGAAACTCTATCAAGACAGTACGTGGAGCAGCTACTGTGCTTATTGTGTGTTTGCAGCCTCTCATGGATCACGGTCCCTCACTGCCTGAGGTCTAGTGCCTTGAAAACCATTATTTCACATATCTGTTTCGTTTTTAGGTTGTTTTAGGTCAAGGGTAAATCTGGTCCTGGTTATTCTGTCTTGGTCACATGCAGAAGTCCCAAATTTACATTTGAAGAGACAAACTGAGGAATCTCCTTTAATTGTGACTTTATATGTATATGTGCCTTGCAATTTACAAAAGATTTTGTACTAATACAAGAGAAAACAATCTGCGAAATATGTTGTCTACTCCTAGTCACACTTGTGTCAACGGTTAGTCACTGGTTACATTGCTTTTACAGTTCTATGTTTGTTGTTTGTTTTTAGTTTATTTCAACAAATATTCATTCCATAAAGCCTGAATGATGAATACCCTTGAAAAGTTTTACAAGGTATATGTGATTCAAGTAAGTCAATCTGACTTTTATAATCACTGTTGCTACATCTTATAACCTTCTCTGAACTCTGAAGTCACTTAAACATATATAATTTACTTAACATTTATGATAATATACTGAGATTACCTAATTATGTAAAGTTTCCCTCAGTAGACTATAAACTTATGAAAGGTGGTGACCACCATATTTTATTCATCTTTTAACCTCTAGTATCTAGCCCAATTTCTGCCCCGTACCCCGAATATAATATGCCTTTTTTTTTTTTTTTGAAACAGAGTCCCAGTCTGTCACCTAGGCTGGAGTGCAGCGGCACAGTCTTGGCTCACTGCAACCTCAATCTCCAAGGTTCAAGCAATTCTCCTGGCCTCAGCCACTTGAATTGCTGGGATTACAGGCATAAGCCACCATGCTCAGCTAATTTTTTGTAGTTTTAGTAGAGAGGGGGTTTCATCATGTTGGCCAGACTGGTCTGGAACTACTGACCACAAGCGATCCACCTGCCTTGGCCTTCCAAAGTGCTGGAATTACAGGCGTGAGCCACTGTGCCTGGCTAATAAGCCTTTTATGCATGTTTATTAGCTAAACTGAATTATTCTAGATCTTGGGTGAACATATTGGGTTACTATACTCCCCCCACCTTTCAAACATGAATATTTCACTTTTGATATAAACAATAAAAACCTACTTACAAAATAATGTACCCTGTTATTCCAAAAGAATGAAATTTGACCCAAATATAAATCTTTAGTTATATCCTCTGACATTAAAACTTCACTTGCCTGTGGTTCTTGTCTTTTATTCTGCCTTCTAATTGGTATTCACTTGATTTATAAATCCCGTTGGCATTATACTTCTTATAAAGGCATTTTGTCTATCTAAATTAAATCTTATTCACTTGATTTTCTCTTATATCTTAAACTCTCAAGATCCATCTGCAGTTTCTCCGTTTTTGACTTTCTAGTCTTGAGTGTGTAATCTCCTCATTTGCAATCATCTCTAGGGTTTACTCAAGTTATTTTTTCTCTCTTCTCTTCAAGTTAACATATTAGAAGGATATTGACCATAGGATTAGTTACCTTTTGAAATCTTCCCTTAATTTTTGGGTTATTCTTGACTATTATAATCAGTATTCATTATTTTCAACCTTGAGGCATCGTTGATATGCTTCACGGCTATAGAAAGTGAAAACCTTCTTGCTTATTTGTATTGTAGAAAGAAGGTGATTAATTCAGCCTAAGTTTCATGGGATCCTTCCCATGAGACGACCCTGCCATCCAGAGAAGCACAATCTTCAGCCTCCAAGAAACTGTGGACTTTGGCTATTGAGTTTCTAAATTTAACACATGGACACAGGGAGGGGAGCATCACACACTGGGGTCTGTCGGGGAGAAATAGGGGAGGGACAGCGGGGGGTGGGGAGTTGGGGAGAGAAAGCATGGGGAGAAATACCAGATATAGGTGATGGGGAGGAAGGCAGCACATCACACTGCCATGTGTGTACCTATGCAACAATCTTGCATGTTCTTCACATGCACCCCAAAACCTAAAAAAATAAAAGCTAAATTCAGTGTCCTTAGAACCAATTCATTTTGAGGAGGATATAATTTTTTGAGGAGTTCAAAGGGCAATTATTATTTCCAGGTCATTTGTTAAAAACTGCTGCACAACATATTTTAATACTATTTAGGTGCTTACCTATCATGGATTATTAAATCTGATTGTGTATGATGCCTTTGCTCCCCTAGAGAAGTAAGGGGTACATAAGCCCTGCAGGAAAAACCAAATCCAATCCAACATTTTCACGAAGAGATCATAACTGTAAATCCAAATTCTATAATTCAATTGTAATATTAAATTTAAATCCATTAAAATTATGCAATCATTATACATATAATTTCTAATAATTGGACTGATAGTTTGACGTAGGGCTAATAATCCTCCCCTGTTGTAACAAGAATTTCCTGGTGCTTATATGTTATGAGACTACTATACAGGCTTTATTTGTTGTATTCCTTTTTTTCCATGAGGAACAGAGGCTGAAACTTATAGTGGAAAATAGGCACATCAGCAAATAGACATGCTTATAGGAGAGAGAAAACAAATGACTCCTGTGGGATCTTGATGAGGTAATGTATGTGAAATTATTCAGAAAATTGAAAATAATATGCAAATGCAAAAAGTTATTACAAGTCATGCCAACTCTTGGATCCCGGCCCAAGCTTCCAACTGGAGCAGGTTCCCCAGGCTCTTATTTTCCATTAGGGAAACTCAGCACATTTAAATGATATTAATGATATATTAAAGTAGTAATGTGATAATAAGGCACTTAGTAATAACGAAATGACTATATGCTATAAAGAAACTTGATTTCCATATACACGTGTCAATATTTACATTACAGGATCAATTCAATTCAACAGATATTTATTGAATTGCATCAGGCACCATGCTTGACACCGTGACTTAGCGAAAAAAGCAGGTGGTCCATGTTTTTGTGGAGATGACAGTCTGTTGGGGGTAGAAAGATAATGACAGTTGTAATTAGGCAATAACGACGTGATATGATAACATGTTTTTCTCACTTAACAGATTCATTCATGAAACACAAAATAATTATTGCCCCTTACAAAATGTCAGTTCTCCTAACAGGCTCTATAGATATATACCATTGAAAATAAAAGTCAGGGTCTGTGATCTCAGAGAACTAGATGTGCAAAGCAGTCACAGCAGTGCAATAAATGTTAGCATTTCGGGAAGCCATTTACAAATATTATGCAAGTAAATTTCACGTTCCAAATTTTATTTTATGTCCCTCCCTCTCTAGAAGGAGATACAAGAGACACAGAGCAAGAATATAAGTACCACCTTGATTCAGTAACGGGAGATTGTATTAGAGTTCCCTAGAGGAAAAAAAAGTAATAATATAAATATGTATATATACATCTATATACCTGTTATAAAAATCGGCTCACAAAATTAAGGAGTCCCATGATCTGCCATTTGCAAGCTACAGAAGCAAGAAAGCTAGTGGTTTTATTCGGTAAAAGTCCAAAGGCTTCAGAACCAGGAGCGTTGATGTCCAAGGGCAGAAGAAGGAAGACAGAAATGTCAGGAAGAAGAAACAAATGTAACATATAGAAAATAGGTACAAACATGATATTAATCCAACTGCATTAATAATCACTTTAAATGTGCATGGTCTAAATATGTCAATTAAAAGACAGAGATTTCCAGAGTGGAAAAAAATAAAAAACAACTGAATTTAAATAAAAAAAACTCAGTTGAACATAAAGGGAAGAAGTAGAATGATGTATCATGCCACTCTAGTCAAAAGCAAGCTGGAGTAGAAATATTAATCGCAGAAAACACATCATCTCGGAACAGAGAAGATGAGCAGAGATAAAGAGGGTGATTAAATAATAACAAAAGTCTAAATAAAAACAACAATGAAAGATAAAATAATAGTAAAAGACTACAATGGAACTAAACTAGAAATTAATAACAAAAATTACTGGAAATCTCTAAATACATGGTAAATTTAAAAGCATGCTTATATATTACCCAGGGATCAAAGAAGCAGTGTCAAGAGAAATTGAAAAATAATTCTGAACTAAAGAAAAATGAAAACAGAACTTAACAAAATTTTTGGAATGCAGCAATAGTAGTGCTTAGAAGGAAATTTATGGCTTCAAATATTTATATAAGAAAAGAAGAAAGATTTTAAAACTCAATTGCTTTAGACTCCACTCGAGAAAACTAGAGAAAGAAGAGCAATTTAGGTTTAAAGTAATTGGTAAAAGATATAACAAAATTAGACCTGAAATAAATGAAATTGAAACCACAAATTTCACAAATGTAATAGAAAAAAAATCTCAAAAACCAGAAATTGTTTCTTTGAAGTTTTTTTTTAAGAAAAAAAAAACCTTGCTAAATCTCTAACTGAACTAACCAAGAAAATAGATTAATATTTCTCATAAATATGGATGCAAAAGTTCTCAATGAAATATTAACAAACTGAATCCAGCAATGTATAAAAAGAATTATAAACTATGAACAAGTGAAATTTATTTGAGGTATACAAGAATGGTCTCACACTTGAAGATCAACCAATATGATCTACCATATCAACATGCTAAAGAAGAAAAATTATATGATTATATCAATTGCTACTGAAAGAGCTTTTGACAAAATTCACATTCACGACAAAACTTTCAGCAAAATATAAATAGAGTGGAATTTTCTCAGCTTGAAAAAGGCATCTACAATAATCTACAGCTAACATAATACTTAATGAAGAGACACATTTTCCCTAAGATAGAGAAAAAAAGCAAGATGGTCCTCTCTAACTACTCCTAAATTATTATTGTACTGGAAGTCTAAGTTAATAGTAAGACAATAAAAACCAATTTAAAATGTATAAAATTAAAGGAAGAAATGAAATTATTTTTATTCAGATGACATAATTATCTGTATACAAAAGAATTCCAAAGAATCTACAAAATACTACTAGAACTAATGAACAAAGTGGCAGGTTAAAAGATAAATATACATAGTCAACCAATTTTCTATGTATCACCAATAAGTGATTGAAATGAAAAATTTTAAAATCTACCACTAATGATAGCAGCAAAAATGGAATGTTTTATTATAAACCTAAGAAAATATATACAGGATCTACATATGGGAAACTATAACACACTGATAAAGGAAGTAAAGAAGACACAAAGAAATGTTTCATGTTCAGGAATCAGAACACTCTTTACTGTTAAGATGTCAATTCTTCCCAGTTTAATTTATACATTCAATGCCATTTCAATAAAAATCCTAGCAAACTATTTTTCAATATTAACTAACAAACTGAGTCTAATTTTATATTGAAAGGCAGAAGACCAAGGATAGCCAATGTAACCTGGAAAAAAAAAGTTGGAGGACTCATACTACCCAATTGAAAGACTTCCTGTGAAGGTACATTAATCAAGACAATATAGTGTTAGTGAAAGAATATTCACGTCGATCAATGGGACAAGACAAATAAGCCATAAACAGACCAACACATGCTTGTGTCAACACAAGCATAGCCAAGTGATCTTTGACAAAGGAATAAAAGCAATCTTTCACTAGAGAAAAGATAATATTTTTATCAAATGGAGTTGGAACAATTAAATGCCCATATGTAAATATAGAATTCAGACAGAAACTTTACATTTTCCAAAAAATTGAATCAAAATGGATCATAAGCTTAAGAGTAAAATGCAAACTATAACATTCCCAGAAAAAAAAAAAAAAACAAGAGAAAATATGTATACTCTGGAGTTTGGCAATGTGTATTTAGATACAAGACAAAAAGTACACCCTATAGGAGAAATGATAAACTTACTTTATTAAAATTAAAATCTTCCACATTGCAAAGAAACTAAGAGAATGAAAATCCAAATCATAAATTGGGAATACATGTTTGCAAAATTTGTATCTGATGAAGGAATTAGATCCAAAATATACAAAGAACACTTAAAATTCAACAATAAGAAAACAACCTAATCAAAAAATAAGCAAAAGGTCTGAATAAACGTCTCACAGGATAAGATATGCAGATGGAAAATAAACACATGAAATGATGCTCAACATCATTTGCCATTAGATAATTGCATGTTATTACAACAATGAGACACCATTGTGTACCTACTATGGTGGCCAACCCTGTCATCCTTCTTCAATTGAAAATACCAATTGTTGGCAGGGATGCAGAGCAGCAAGAAGTTTCTTTTGTTGCCGGTGGAAATGCAAGAGTACAGCCACATTGGAAGAGAGTTTGGCAGTTTTTAACAAAGCTAAACATTGTCATAACATACAATTCAGTAATCCTGCTCCTAGGTATTTACCCAATTGATGTGAAAACTTATGTCTGCAACATTCATGTGAAGATTTATAACGCGGCCATTCATAATTGCCAAAAACTGGAAGCAACCAAGATGTCCTTTCATATATGAATAGATAAACAAACTGAAGTACAGCGACTCAATAGAGTACTATCAGTGATAAGAGGTAATGAACAATGAAACCCTGCAGAAACATGAGTGGATAATAAATGCATATTGCTAAGTAGAAGAAGCCAGTTTTAAAAAGCTGTGTGATCTCCTTTATAGAATATTCTGGAAAAGAGGAAGCTGTAAAGACAATAAATATATCAATGATTTTTGGAGCTTTGGAGGAGGTGAGTTAAATAGGTGATGAGCAGAGGATATTTTAGGGTGGGGAAACTTTTTTCTGTAGGCAGGAAGAGGTAACAGTGTTGCAGGGCAGGTCAGCCTCAAAATTGGGGCTCATCCCAAGAGGGCTTTTGGTTTCCCTCAGGAAAGAATTAAAGAGTGAACTATGTTGGTAGAAGAAAACAACTTTATTAAGACAGGAGTGTTACATCTCTGTGAGTGTTCCTGCAGAGCAGGGCTACCCCACAGGCAGTGTGTACAGAACAGCAGCAGGGGCAGTTCTGCAGTCATATTTATACTCACTTTTAATCACATGCAAATTAAGGAGCCGATTATACGAAAATTTTTAGACAATGGGTGGTAACTTTTGGGTAATTGCCATGGAAGAGGGTGGCAACTTCCGAGGTTGCCATGGCAGTGGTAAACCAATGTAGCACTGGCGAGCATGTGTCTTATGGTGGGATGCCTTTGCCTCTTTCCTGTTTTAGCTAGTCTTCAATCTGGTCCAGAATTGAGTCCAACATCTGGAGTTGAATCATGCCTCCTACTTCAATAGCAGATACAAAGGCATAAGAGAGAAAGCAGAGAGAACAGGACATTTTTGGAAACTACGCCATGATTCTTAGAGAATGAATACAGGAGAGGGTGCTGAGAAGGAAGGGAGGAAGACGCAACTAGAGATGCAGGATGCAGGCAGGGTCAGGTCCTGCTGATTCTTAAGTGCCATGGAAGTTATCAACCCTTGTCCACGTAATTAATAATAAACATTCAAGGCACTGATGTAATTTGGTATCAAAGAGCTAATTATGGTCTCTCATCATTATGTATTAGAGTCATAGCTGATCACAAGTTCCAGAGAGAAGCATAAAGTCATCAAAAGCAGTCAGCCAAATCTGGCAAAATGAAAGTGATTGTTGCAATATTTTAGGATTCAGTTCAGAGTTTAAATCTTTTACATCTGTGCTTCCAACCGATTCATTTTAGAATTGGTTCTGAGAACAAATTGACTGGCTTGTAGCATTTCCATAGTTCAAGGACTTGTTGCTAAGGTGGAAACAAGTCAGGTTTGAAGAATGACCTATTGCATCTGGTGTGTTGATAACTTCCTCAAACTGCAAATAATGTAGAGAAAAAAAAGGGCAACTGAATGTTTCCTGTCTGCAGAAAAGTATCTGGAAGTAAAGCATTCACCATTTCCTTTGAATGTCAATAGATTTGCATTTGCACTATCTTGGCTGCACATAGACTGAAACACCTGGTGTTTGTATGTTCAACCACACATTATTATTTGTTGGTGGGTTA